AAAAGACCAAAGACAGAAGAGCGAAGAATCAACATAAGTATATAACATATATCCACTCAATGATCAGAAAATTTCGTAACTTTATTTATTTATTTATATATATATATATATATATATATACATACATACACCACTCAACCTCATATGCATAGAAATTAGAAAGTTTCGTAACTTTACCAACATCACCAAAAAATATAATAAACAAAAAGAAATCAGAAAAGAACAAAAATTACTTAAAAAATTGAACAAATCCATGACGAATGAGAAGGAAACAGAAGAACCCACATAGATCTCTTATACAGAGGTAGAGAGTAGAGAAAATAAAGTGAGGAGAGATACCTTAATCAACCACAAGCAGAGGAGTTGAAGAAAGGCAACGAAGGAGATGAAAGTTTCAGACTATGGCAACGAAGAAGAAAGTGTCGGGAGGGGACATCTGGAAGAAGGCTCAGAAGAAAAAAATTAAAAGCGCTTAGGAAACACTAATACCTTATTATCTTTTATTTTTATTTCGGTTATTTCGGTTAACCGATCTTATTCGGTTATTTAACCGAACCGAACCGAACCGTTTGGTTATACAACATTAGTAAGCAATCGGTTATAACGGTTATAACCGAACCGAACCGAAATACACTTATTCGGTTCGGTTCGGTTAATAACCGATATAACCGAACCGATTGCCCAACGCTACGATGAATCATACAAGAATTATGTATTTAAATTTAAAGAAATGCCTGAAATGTTAGAGATGATGGATCATTGTTTTATCTCCTCGCAAATCATTCTTCAATAATTGAATAATTGAATAGTACGACGGGAAATATCCCCATTAACTTATTGAATTATTCTCCATTTTAAAAAATTAAGGCCAAACTTATTAACCTTTGGGATCAATTAGTGTGTCCCACTTATCAAACTTAATGCCTTAAATACCACTATTTATACGTATTGCTTTCTTATTTCTTAAAAAAAATAGAATCATAAATGTTAGTGCAACTATTTGCACATATGTTTTTTGGTTGTTAAGTGGTTATTGCAGGTTCAACAAACTTGAGAGATTTTAGGAGAAGAATCCGGCGAGATAGAGCTCACGCAAATCTGAGGTACAACTGACGAGTTTCAGATAAAGTCAAAGACTAAGAGATTGAGATGGACTCAATGTCAACCACTTGGAGAGATTTTAGAGAAAGCAATCTGAAGAGATAGAGCCACGAAGCTTGGATTTGACTTGAAGATATGAAGATAGAATCAAAGCTAAGAAGATTTGAGGAGATTTAAGATAGAGACAATCTTGGAGATAAAGTCAAAGACTTGAAGAGATAGAGATAAAGATGAGATCTTGGAGATAGAGATGAAATCGAAGAGGATCAAGGAGAAGTCTATCAAATCAATTCGTAGAGATCTAAGGCGAACTGGAGGAGCCTATATAAAGGAGACACAAGTTGCAGATCAGTTCTCACGGAGAGCAAAGCATATTTGACTAAAAGAGTCTTTTTATTGGTGAGTGATAACTCATTTTTTAGTGAGTGTGTGTCTGAGGAAGAGACCGATGGGGCAAATATCTTTCTTCTGGTGAATGTTTGGGCGTGGATCTGAGGGGGAGACCTCATGGAAAAATCTCCGTTCCTTTGGTGAGCGTTTAAGTTTTGGTAAGGTTTTTGATCGGTAGAATTCATTGTGAGAGTGGGTGTTGAGTAGCTCTAACAAAAAGTGAGTTGTACTTGACTTTTTCTCAAATGAATAGAACTAATTAGTTTTTCCCTTTACTCTTTGAGGGTCCGGTTTTTGAAATCGAAGAGGATCAAGGAGAAGTCTATCAAATCAATTCGTAGAGATCTAAGGCGAACTGGAGGAGCCTATATAAAGGAGACACAAGTTGCAGATCAGTTCTCACGGAGAGCAAAGCATATTTGACTAAAAGAGTCTTTTTATTGGTGAGTGATAACTCATTTTTTAGTGAGTGTGTGTCTGAGGAAGAGACCGATGGGGCAAATATCTTTCTTCTGGTGAATGTTTGGGCGTGGATCTGAGGGGGAGACCTCATGGAAAAATCTCCGTTCCTTTGGTGAGCGTTTAAGTTTTGGTAAGGTTTTTGATCGGTAGAATTCATTGTGAGAGTGGGTGTTGAGTAGCTCTAACAAAAAGTGAGTTGTACTTGACTTTTTCTCGAGTGAATAGAACTGGTTAGTTTTTCCTTTACTCTTTGAGGGTCTGGTTTTTTCAATAAAAGATGAGAAAGAATGGAGTGAATAAGTCGTGCAGAAGATTTGGAAAAAAAAAAGTGCAAGGGAAAATCAAGGAAAAACACCAAAAATTATACATCTTAAGCAATAGATTTCAAAGTGGAGTTTTCTTAGGATCCTTTTCTTCATTCTTGTTAATCTTTTACTTTTATTGAATGGTTGATTTTTTATTGATAGAGATGATGTTTGAAATTGAATACGCATGAGATTTGAATAAAAAAAAAATGTTAAAATATTATCAGACATGTGTTGGAAGAACAATGATATTTTATTATGTTACCGGTAATAAGTTGTTGAGTTTAAGAAAGTGTAGTTCTTTACAAGATAGAGGGGTGAGATATGAATTTTTAGGTTCAAATTTTACTCAAAATCGGGTATATAAAGCTAATGTTATGATATTTTGAAAAAAAATATATATCAATATGAAGAAAATAACAATTTTTAATATATTTATTCTAGGTTAAGAAATTCTTAAATTTTTTATGAATAATAAAAGTGGTTAGAAATCATGTATGTGAATTTTAATGAATTGTATGACCTTATTTTCGATTATATATTGTGGATTTTTTTTGGACAGTAGTAGATATATATGCATATTTTCTTGTAGAATCCTAGACATGGAATATTCATGGTAGATAAGTATTTTCTATCAAGTAAAAGATATCATTTAACATTTTAGTAACTAAAACGAAATAAAAGCTAATTTTAAAAACATGAGAATGAATGTTAAAGTTAACCATGTTAAGTAACGAATAAAGATCATCCACTTACTGACGAATATGCTATGATAAAATAAAGTATGCTTGATGATCATCTACCCTTGGTTGGTTATCATACATACGATATGAAATAACATACTAGTGCATTATGTTAGAACACATTAGAATATTTTCAGACACTACGGGATCCAACCATATAGATTAAATTGATTATGGAAAATAAATGTTAATAAAAAAGAAGAAATTTTGAAACAAAAAAATCATATTCGTGCATTATTTCAGAATACATTAGTAGCTATTAGTTAACATTCACAATATAAAAGACATTTCATGCCCTGCATATTTGTATGTATAGATAAATCAAAGTGAGAGAGTGAATCAAATATGCGAGATAATCAAATGAAATTTTTAAGAGGATAGATTCATTTTATAATTGTGTTTGATATATTTCGACCGTTCAAATTAGTAAGAGTCATGAGGATTAAAGATTGATAGAGTCTAGAATATTACACTCAGTTAGTGTTGTAGGCTCATCCCATTATACTTATTTTTTTTTTAAAGAATGGAGAAATTACAAGAACACAAGTAAGCGTTTTCGAAGTTTCAAGTCAATAACTATACTTTGAGTTAAAAATAAATCATAGTGATTATCCGTGACAATCTTTAATTTATATTTTGTGTTAAGACTTGTTTTATGTTAAAAATAATGTGTTTATATCTTTTTAATGTTTTATGGGACCGATCGATTATACCGTTGCAGTTATGGCTGACAGCGTTTTCAAAACGTTTGATAGCGATAATAAATGATTAATACTGATGGTTGATAAGTTGATGTTGGCACCGATTGTAGATAAGTGCGATTAAAAATGAATGGTTCGTTACGGTTGTAGTTGCGGTTACATTTTGATATAAATTATCAAAAAAGATATTATTTTAAAATATTTTTTTATAATAATTATAATTAAATTTCCAATATCATTTGATAAAAATTATTTACTAAATTTATAATAATTAAATAATAAATTTTAAATATAAATATTATCAATTTTTATATAAAAATATAATTTTATTATAAAAATTAACAACCGCTCCATTTGCGGATAGACGGCGCAACACGTCTGGACAACTTTATCTTGTTTTGTATGTATGGTAAGTGAGTTTACCGCGAGACAAATCGGTTCTTAATGACTCAAATCTCGTAAATATCCAATGCACGAAACCGAGTAACAAAGGTTGTCTCTATCTACACAACAAAGATGAATGAATCTGAAAAGGCAAGTTGTGCCTATGGATATACTCGAAGAGATCATAGATGAAGGAAAAGAATATGAGAGAGAATATAATGGTTTTGACCGTGATGATCTACGAATGATCATAGATACGCTAGTAGCTAAGCATTGGCGGAAGCATATCTCATAAGATCTCAAAATTATTAGTAATACTTTAGAAAAATCCTAAAAATAACATTTGACAGAAAAAACACCGAACTTTTGTTTTTTTTTCAAATAAATTTTAATTTTTTTTAAAAAAAATAAACTTTTAAAATTATTTAAAAAAATATAAACTTTTACGTGATTGTCAAAATAAATATTATTTTTTAAATAATTCAAAAAAATATATGAACTATATAAAATTGTAAAAAAACCAATGATAATAATTTGACGTATTTGTTTCTCTTTATACCATGTCAGCTCATTTGTTTATTTTGACAATAGTAGAAGAGTTAAGTGTTTTATTTGATAAATTTAAAAAATTTAATGTTTATTTGATAAAATAAAAAATTGTATTTTTCTAGTGAAAATTAAAAAATTCAGTGTTTTTTTTATTTTCTTTAATATTTTTGAATTTTATGTTAAATAAAAAAATATACAAAAATAGGATGTATAAAGTAAACAAATTTATTAAATAGATAATTATTATAGAACAAATGTATTAACATTAACTCTGAATTTAAAGTTTTTCCGTAGAAGGCGATATTATACGATTTTTCTTTAAAAAAAAACCTAAATTTGTTTTCCTGAAAACTGTGGAATCTGCAGTGCGTGCGTACATTTCGCTCGAACTCCGTATAAAAATTTATCTATATATACACAGGAGACAAAACCATCGCGCTTGGATACCGTGTTCGGAGCCCTTGAATTCTTCGTCGATGATGTCGACCCTCAGAGCATACGCGGCACCAATCTTCATCTTCTTCCTCGCCATGTTCTTCCAGCTTTTCCTTCTCCCCCGATCCTTTCCTCCTTCTCACTACGACGGTATTTATGTGTATATATACATCTCGATTTGAATATATACGTATATGTAGATACGAGGTTGTAATTTCGGTTTGAAATCCGCTTGTGGGTTCTTTTGATTTCGAAGTTTTGGGCGTGACGAGGCACTGTTCGGCGGAGGAGGTGAGAGAGGCGTACGAGAGCTTTGAATCCAAGTGGTAGCACTCTGTGCTCTTTACTGTTTCCATGTTTCAATCATGATCTGGAAATTTGTTTTTCTTGCATTAAGCGCAATGATCGTAAAATTCGATAACTTACCCGCAATTGTTGTCTTTGATCAATTTCTTGGTAGGCAATGCCTCTTACCACAAGTTGTGGGGCTCGGGGTGTAGGTTTTAAGAAATTAGTTTGCGCATTGTGACAATTAGTTGAATCTTTTATTTGTTGTCTGAACAATGATTATATCGTAAATTATTTCATGGAAGAATGGTTGGAGCATTGTGGAAAAAGCGTGTAATCAGTAGCTGATTGCTTTTAATGTATGGTGAAAACTACTCTAGTTATAGTTTCTTATGTGTGAGAGACTGCAGCACATTACTAGCTTTATGGAATTGGTATGACCTACTTGTTCGATGGGATTTGATTGCTGATTGCTAAACGATGAAGGGCAAGCATCTGTTTACCCTTTGGCTTTCCACTCCATTTCAATGTGTGAAAAGATACACGGGAAATCATCTTTCTCCGCTTATATTTTAAGCAATCATCCGTGCTTTTAGTATATATAGGACTGAATTTACTTGTTCTTCTATGTATGTGACTGTGCTGCGGATGAGTGGAAAGAATTGTTTTCCCCTCAATATTTTAAAAATTCAATCATGTCAGGGATTCAGGTTCGGACGTTCCTACGGCAAGTAATTTCATAAAGGTCAGTCTGTCTTGTGTGCTGAAATTGTTCTGCTTGTTGTTGTACTTACGTTTTCGACTGCTACGGTTTTAACATCATAGGAACTGAATGCCATGCAGATACGTTATGCCTATGAGCTGCTAACAAATCCAATATGGAAAAGGGACTATGACTTATATGACGTTGATGAAAAAGCAGTAAGTTGTTAGATCCTATGTTGATGGATTTCTTCGCTGATTTTTTATGTAGCAGAGGAAAGGAGATTTCCTCAGGAATTCATTTAAAAAATCAACTTCTTGGTTCATTGCTCACAGCATGTTATAGAGGAGCTTGAGAGACAATATGCTGCGGAAGATTTTGCAAAAATAAAGCTTCCCCTCCTGGAAGTTGTTTCTTACGGTCAGTAGACTAATGGATCTTTTTACCATCTCGAATTATATTTATGGAATCTAAATTTGAAGAAGAATCTATATGCATGACAACTTGTAATAATGACATGAATTCTTATTTCTCCAGAGCCTCAGAGTGAACGTTTTATAAAAATTACGTCTCAAGATTTTGCATCCAAGTTGCAAGATTCCAAGCCATTGCTCATTCAGGTATGACCACTGTGGTGATTATTTACAGTTACATTTTTGTGATTGGTTTTTGTTGGCCTGTCATTCATAATTTCTTTTTGTTTTTCCTCGTGTGAAGGCAGAGTTCATGTAATTATTAGAGAAGCATTTACGCTGAAATGGTATTGAGCTACCATATCCAGAATATCTTACATGATTTGAAATCTCTTCTTCAACAACTAGACATGATTCTCATGTTGGCTAAGGTGGCTGCATTTTTCAGCCACTGAACTCTGTCTGAGATCTAGGGGTTTGGTAGTAGTTGATCGATCGGTTATGGCGTTTTACTGGCATTGCCCCAAAAAACTCTCAACCGCCTTTTCTCTTTTGTTTTTATTAAATCAATGGTTTGTCTCTACCTTTTTACTTGGCCTGAGTGGTTCCTATTGAACTAATTTTCTTCCTCCCTTCCCATTGCCAATTAGCGACGAAGTTCTGTCATTGTGAGAGCTTGTTCCCTTTTCTTGTTCTCTATATATTTTGCACTCGTTCATTCTAACAACTAACAAGAAAAATTTTGATCTCTTATTATTTGATTTGGTAACATCTCCCGCTGCAAAGCAAAAAGAACACGAATCAGCTGATAAGTAACTTACCTTCCTTACCCCTTTAGAAGTAACGTGTCGTCCAAATCTTGTATCCAATTGCGTTATCCATTAACCGAGAATTATCTTAACCATGAAAGGACCAGCCAACATAGTTCCTTGTTTCCCATGTCCAAAATGTAAATACTTGCATGCATGTAAACTAGATCTAGCTTTGCGGTCCCTTATGTTGTATTGACAGAATGGCATATCTAAGCTTCTGTTCATCATAGGAGAGGTTGAAAACTTTTCTTTTCTGATATCTTCTGTGGATCTTAACACCTTTTTAATTTGTTTTCGTACATCTTACACTATTTGACCTAATGCTTGTAGATGTATTCTTCTGGTAGCAGCAGATCTGCACAATTTTCTCAGGTTTGGGAAAGAATTGGTATGATATATCTTTCTTCAGTAGAATTTATGAAGTCATTTTGTTGCAAACCTTGGCCATTTTATTGTTTATTTTATTATATGAGGATTAGAACAGTGCATATGAAGAGGTAGATTGAAAATTGAGCTCCAGGTAGTGACGTTTTTAAGGTGTGATTTATAATACTTTACTAGGCAAATGTAAAACTACGATCACAACATGATAATAAAAGATTAAGTCTTCGCAAGTTTGAGTTTGTAAGGTAGTCTTGTCATCCATTCTGCTACTAACCATTGTCATTATGTATATCAAATTGGTGTTATTGCAGTTGAATTATTGGAAGGAGTTGCTAACCATGGCATGGTAGAGCTTGGTGATCTTCAACTTGTGACATACCTTGCGGAGAAAAAGCCAACTGGAAAAGTATTTTTTAGAAAAGGTAAGAATTCACTTAGTTGACAACTCTTATCACTAGTGCTCCAGCTAAGAACCAAAAAAAAAAAAGAAAAAGCAAGAGAATAAATGATACGAATAAGCTATTTTGTGCATTAAACTGAAGTAGAGGATCTGCTCAGTGGTTCTAGAGTTGTTTGTTAATACTCAGGGGAAGTATATAATATATACATTATTTTTTAACATTTTAGATGCTAGTATTAGTCAGTATATCAGGAACAAAATTCTCTACAAGCCAATAGCTACATAAGGCTTCCAAACGCTAGGCGGCTAGGGTCTTGATATTTTCCAAGCATATCTTTCATCATGTATAGCGTGGCCACGTTTGCCCATTAGCAGCCTTCAATTCATTTACAATCTCGTGTTTACATTTCTTGTTCCTGTACACTTTACTATGCTTCACACTGCTGAAACATGAAATGATATCTTGCGATGTAGTTGATTCACAAACATCTTGAAGTTGTTTTTCTTCTTTTACTACCTTATGATATGTATGCAGGCTTACCTTCACTTGTTGCTTTCCCACCTCACTGCAAAACTTCTGATTGTCTCATAAGGTAACTGCTGATATATCTCCTAAGTTCTATGAAAACAACAGAACATTCTGCATCCTTTGTTGTCCTGAAATATTCTCATAATTAACACGTTTCATTTGCCTGATTCGCGTCACTGATGATCTGAATCTATCTACTTGTCAGGTTTGAGGGAGAGCCATCAGCCGAAGCAGTTACTGATTGGTTGGCAACTACCGTGATGGGGTTACCTCGAATATTCTATCAATCAAAAGAAACACTGGTATAAATGAAATTCTCTAATGCCTCATCATCTCTGAAGCTCAAACTTACAGCAACTAACATAAAATCTGATAAACCATCTCCGACTGGAATATCTCATACTTCTACAGAATTTTTGGTCCTACACTGCCTTGTTAGTTTTTCAAATCTTAGCTTTGTAATTGTGTTGTTTACTTGATACTCACTATGTTCTCAACTGGTACCTGAACCTGATCTTTCCGGCTTTGTATAACATTAGCACCACTGCAGCAGAAATATGTTGGCTTCTAGGGAGAGGAATCTATGGTCTTGTCATATTGGGTGTTTTCGTTGGAAAGATTTCATCTAATCTTCTCCAAATACATGGTTTCATAACTTAGATTCTTCAGTATATGGAGGCGTTGTGATTGATAAGAGTGAGAAACCTGTTTGTTTACATGTGTAGCGGACATGTAGTTTTTTAGCTGTTGTGTTTTGCAATATTTCCTAGAATTTAGCTTGGCTAGTTCTGTGGTGATGTCCTTGCACTTCTTCTGGGTTTATAGTCTGTGTTCTCTCTCTTCTTTGGATAATTTTAAATTCATTCTGCCATACAGGTGTCAAAGTTCCTCTCAAAAGTCCCCCCTTATAAGGTTTGTCTTCCGATTTCTCCCTTATCCTGCAGGATCCATGATAATTATTTTAGTGTTTTTATTTGTCTTCAAACTTATTTTTCTGTTTTCTAGAATTTTATCATATTGTCAACTTCATAACTTACAAGAATAAATGAATTTTTTCCGCATCATAATTAGTAACCAATCTCTTTCTGCTGTGTTTCCCAACTCATCAATAGGTGAAAGTCATTCTGTTCTCAAAAACAGGGGAACGGGCGACCACTAACTTAAAGAAGCAGCTGAAAAAAAAAGAAGAAAGGATCACCTTACTACAAAGTCAGTTGGATGAGACTATAAAGAAAGTAAGGATGCTCGGAAGTGGTACAGAAAAGCTTGAGCATCTTCTGACGATTAGACGAACTGATTCTGGACATGTTGGTCTCGGATATACTGGAGGGAGTGCTAACAAAGTAGGAAACTTTGTATCAAGAGGAAAACTTGGAGATGAAGTTATTTCAAGAGTAAGGAAAACTCCGAAAATCATGATTGATCTTCATCCCAGACAGCAGTACCGTGAGCATAGGAGTTACAACTGACGAGTTTCAGATAAAGTCAAAGACTAAGAGATTGAGATGGACTCAATGTCAACCACTTGGAGAGATTTTAGAGAAAGCAATCTGAAGAGATAGAGCCACGAAGCTTGGATTTGACTTGAAGATATGAAGATAGAATCAAAGCTAAGAAGATTTAAGGAGATTTGAGATAGAGACAAGATCTTGGAGATAAAGTCAAAGACTTGAAGAGATAGAGATAAAGATGAGATCTTGGAGATAGAGATGAAATCGAAGAGGATCAAGGAGAAATCTATCAAATCAATTCGTGGAGATCTAAGGCGAACTGGAGGAGCCTATATAAAGGAGACACAAGTTGCAGATCAGTTCTCACGGAGAGCAAAGCATATTTGACTAAAAGAGTCTTTTTGTTGGTGAGTGATAACTCATTTTTTAGTGAGTGTGTGTCTGAGGAAGAGACCGATGGGGCAAATATCTTTCTTCTGGTGAATGTTTGGGCGTGGATCTGAGGGGGAGACCTAATGGAAAAATCTCCGTTCCTTTGGTGAGCGTTTAAGTTTTGGTAAGGTTTTTGATCGGTAGAATTCATTGTGAGAGTGGGTGTTGAGTAGCTCTAACAAAAAGTGAGTTGTACTTGACTTTTTCTCGAGTGAATAGAACTGGTTAGTTTTTCCTTTACTCTTTGAGGGTCTGGTTTTTTCAATAAAAGATGAGAAAGAATGGAGTGAATAAGTCGTGCAGAAGATTTGGAAAAAAAAAAGTGCAAGGGAAAATCAAGGAAAAACACCAAAAATTATACATCTTAAGCAATAGATTTCAAAGTGGAGTTTTCTTAGGATCCTTTTCTTCATTCTTGTTAATCTTTTACTTTTATTGAATGGTTGATTTTTTATTGATAGAGATGATGTTTGAAATTGAATACGCATGAGATTTGAATAAAAAAAAAATGTTAAAATATTATCAGACATGTGTTGGAAGAACAATGATATTTTATTATGTTACCGGTAATAAGTTGTTGAGTTTAAGAAAGTGTAGTTCTTTACAAGATAGAGGGGTGAGATATGAATTTTTAGGTTCAAATTTTACTCAAAATCGGGTATATAAAGCTAATGTTATGATATTTTGAAAAAAAATATATATCAATATGAAGAAAATAACAATTTTTAATATATTTATTCTAGGTTAAGAAATTCTTAAATTTTTTATGAATAATAAAAGTGGTTAGAAATCATGTATGTGAATTTTAATGAATTGTATGACCTTATTTTCGATTATATATTGTGGATTTTTTTTGGACAGTAGTAGATATATATGCATATTTTCTTGTAGAATCCTAGACATGGAATATTCATGGTAGATAAGTATTTTCTATCAAGTAAAAGATATCATTTAACATTTTAGTAACTAAAACGAAATAAAAGCTAATTTTAAAAACATGAGAATGAATGTTAAAGTTAACCATGTTAAGTAACGAATAAAGATCATCCACTTACTGACGAATATGCTATGATAAAATAAAGTATGCTTGATGATCATCTACCCTTGGTTGGTTATCATACATACGATATGAAATAACATACTAGTGCATTATGTTAGAACACATTAGAATATTTTCAGACACTACGGGATCCAACCATATAGATTAAATTGATTATGGAAAATAAATGTTAATAAAAAAGAAGAAATTTTGAAACAAAAAAATCATATTCGTGCATTATTTCAGAATACATTAGTAGCTATTAGTTAACATTCACAATATAAAAGACATTTCATGCCCTGCATATTTGTATGTATAGATAAATCAAAGTGAGAGAGTGAATCAAATATGCGAGATAATCAAATGAAATTTTTAAGAGGATAGATTCATTTTATAATTGTGTTTGATATATTTCGACCGTTCAAATTAGTAAGAGTCATGAGGATTAAAGATTGATAGAGTCTAGAATATTACACTCAGTTAGTGTTGTAGGCTCATCCCATTATACTTATTTTTTTTTTTAAAGAATGGAGAAATTACAAGAACACAAGTAAGCGTTTTCGAAGTTTCAAGTCAATAACTATACTTTGAGTTAAAAATAAATCATAGTGATTATCCGTGACAATCTTTAATTTATATTTTGTGTTAAGACTTGTTTTATGTTAAAAATAATGTGTTTATATCTTTTTAATGTTTTATGGGACCGATCGATTATACCGTTGCAGTTATGGCTGACAGCGTTTTCAAAACGTTTGATAGCGATAATAAATGATTAATACTGATGGTTGATAAGTTGATGTTGGCACCGATTGTAGATAAGTGCGATTAAAAATGAATGGTTCGTTACGGTTGTAGTTGCGGTTACATTTTGATATAAATTATCAAAAAAGATATTATTTTAAAATATTTTTTTATAATAATTATAATTAAATTTCCAATATCATTTGATAAAAATTATTTACTAAATTTATAATAATTAAATAATAAATTTTAAATATAAATATTATCAATTTTTATATAAAAATATAATTTTATTATAAAAATTAACAACCGCTCCATTTGCGGATAGACGGCGCAACACGTCTGGACAACTTTATCTTGTTTTGTATGTATGGTAAGTGAGTTTACCGCGAGACAAATCGGTTCTTAATGACTCAAATCTCGTAAATATCCAATGCACGAAACCGAGTAACAAAGGTTGTCTCTATCTACACAACAAAGATGAATGAATCTGAAAAGGCAAGTTGTGCCTATGGATATACTCGAAGAGATCATAGATGAAGGAAAAGAATATGAGAGAGAATATAATGGTTTTGACCGTGATGATCTACGAATGATCATAGATACGCTAGTAGCTAAGCATTGGCGGAAGCATATCTCATAAGATCTCAAAATTATTAGTAATACTTTAGAAAAATCCTAAAAATAACATTTGACAGAAAAAACACCGAACTTTTGTTTTTTTTTCAAATAAATTTTAATTTTTTTTAAAAAAAATAAACTTTTAAAATTATTTAAAAAAATATAAACTTTTACGTGATTGTCAAAATAAATATTATTTTTTAAATAATTCAAAAAAATATATGAACTATATAAAATTGTAAAAAAACCAATGATAATAATTTGACGTATTTGTTTCTCTTTATACCATGTCAGCTCATTTGTTTATTTTGACAATAGTAGAAGAGTTAAGTGTTTTATTTGATAAATTTAAAAAATTTAATGTTTATTTGATAAAATAAAAAATTGTATTTTTCTAGTGAAAATTAAAAAATTCAGTGTTTTTTTTATTTTCTTTAATATTTTTGAATTTTATGTTAAATAAAAAAATATACAAAAATAGGATGTATAAAGTAAACAAATTTATTAAATAGATAATTATTATAGAACAAATGTATTAACATTAACTCTGAATTTAAAGTTTTTCCGTAGAAGGCGATATTATACGATTTTTCTTTAAAAAAAAACCTAAATTTGTTTTCCTGAAAACTGTGGAATCTGCAGTGCGTGCGTACATTTCGCTCGAACTCCGTATAAAAATTTATCTATATATACACAGGAGACAAAACCATCGCGCTTGGATACCGTGTTCGGAGCCCTTGAATTCTTCGTCGATGATGTCGACCCTCAGAGCATACGCGGCACCAATCTTCATCTTCTTCCTCGCCATGTTCTTCCAGCTTTTCCTTCTCCCCCGATCCTTTCCTCCTTCTCACTACGACGGTATTTATGTGTATATATACATCTCGATTTGAATATATACGTATATGTAGATACGAGGTTGTAATTTCGGTTTGAAATCCGCTTGTGGGTTCTTTTGATTTCGAAGTTTTGGGCGTGACGAGGCACTGTTCGGCGGAGGAGGTGAGAGAGGCGTACGAGAGCTTTGAATCCAAGTGGTAGCACTCTGTGCTCTTTACTGTTTCCATGTTTCAATCATGATCTGGAAATTTGTTTTTCTTGCATTAAGCGCAATGATCGTAAAATTCGATAACTTACCCGCAATTGTTGTCTTTGATCAATTTCTTGGTAGGCAATGCCTCTTACCACAAGTTGTGGGGCTCGGGGTGTAGGTTTTAAGAAATTAGTTTGCGCATTGTGACAATTAGTTGAATCTTTTATTTGTTGTCTGAACAATGATTATATCGTAAATTATTTCATGGAAGAATGGTTGGAGCATTGTGGAAAAAGCGTGTAATCAGTAGCTGATTGCTTTTAATGTATGGTGAAAACTACTCTAGTTATAGTTTCTTATGTGTGAGAGACTGCAGCACATTACTAGCTTTATGGAATTGGTATGACCTACTTGTTCGATGGGATTTGATTGCTGATTGCTAAACGATGAAGGGCAAGCATCTGTTTACCCTTTGGCTTTCCACTCCATTTCAATGTGTGAAAAGATACACGGGAAATCATCTTTCTCCGCTTATATTTTAAGCAATCATCCGTGCTTTTAGTATATATAGGACTGAATTTACTTGTTCTTCTATGTATGTGACTGTGCTGCGGATGAGTGGAAAGAATTGTTTTCCCCTCAATATTTTAAAAATTCAATCATGTCAGGGATTCAGGTTCGGACGTTCCTACGGCAAGTAATTTCATAAAGGTCAGTCTGTCTTGTGTGCTGAAATTGTTCTGCTTGTTGTTGTACTTACGTTTTCGACTGCTACGGTTTTAACATCATAGGAACTGAATGCCATGCAGATACGTTATGCCTATGAGCTGCTAACAAATCCAATATGGAAAAGGGACTATGACTTATATGACGTTGATGAAAAAGCAGTAAGTTGTTAGATCCTATGTTGATGGATTTCTTCGCTGATTTTTTATGTAGCAGAGGAAAGGAGATTTCCTCAGGAATTCATTTAAAAAATCAACTTCTTGGTTCATTGCTCACAGCATGTTATAGAGGAGCTTGAGAGACAATATGCTGCGGAAGATTTTGCAAAAATAAAGCTTCCCCTCCTGGAAGTTGTTTCTTACGGTCAGTAGACTAATGGATCTTTTTACCATCTCGAATTATATTTATGGAATCTAAATTTGAAGAAGAATCTATATGCATGACAACTTGTAATAATGACATGAATTCTTATTTCTCCAGAGCCTCAGAGTGAACGTTTTATAAAAATTACGTCTCAAGATTTTGCATCCAAGTTGCAAGATTCCAAGCCATTGCTCATTCAGGTATGACCACTGTGGTGATTATTTACAGTTACATTTTTGTGATTGGTTTTTGTTGGCCTGTCATTCATAATTTCTTTTTGTTTTTCCTCGTGTGAAGGCAGAGTTCATGTAATTATTAGAGAAGCATTTACGCTGAAATGGTATTGAGCTACCATATCCAGAATATCTTACATGATTTGAAATCTCTTCTTCAACAACTAGACATGATTCTCATGTTGGCTAAGGTGGCTGCATTTTTCAGCCACTGAACTCTGTCTGAGATCTAGGGGTTTGGTAGTAGTTGATCGATCGGTTATGGCGTTTTACTGGCATTGCCCCAAAAAACTCTCAACCGCCTTTTCTCTTTTGTTTTTATTAAATCAATGGTTTGTCTCTACCTTTTTACTTGGCCTGAGTGGTTCCTATTGAACTAATTTTCTTCCTCCCTTCCCATTGCCAATTAGCGACGAAGTTCTGTCATTGTGAGAGCTTGTTCCCTTTTCTTGTTCTCTATATATTTTGCACTCGTTCATTCTAACAACTAACAAGAAAAATTTTGATCTCTTATTATTTGATTTGGTAACATCTCCCGCTGCAAAGCAAAAAGAACACGAATCAGCTGATAAGTAACTTACCTTCCTTACCCCTTTAGAAGTAACGTGTCGTCCAAATCTTGTATCCAATTGCGTTATCCATTAACCGAGAATTATCTTAACCATGAAAGGACCAGCCAACATAGTTCCTTGTTTCCCATGTCCAAAATGTAAATACTTGCATGCATGTAAACTAGATCTAGCTTTGCGGTCCCTTATGTTGTATTGACAGAATGGCATATCTAAGCTTCTGTTCATCATAGGAGAGGTTGAAAACTTTTCTTTTCTGATATCTTCTGTGGATCTTAACACCTTTTTAATTTGTTTTCGTACATCTTACACTATTTGACCTAATGCTTGTAGATGTATTCTTCTGGTAGCAGCAGATCTGCACAATTTTCTCAGGTTTGGGAAAGAATTGGTATGATATATCTTTCTTCAGTAGAATTTATGAAGTCATTTTGTTGCAAACCTTGGCCATTTTATTGTTTATTTTATTATATGAGGATTAGAACAGTGCATATGAAGAGGTAGATTGAAAATTGAGCTCCAGGTAGTGACGTTTTTAAGGTGTGATTTATAATACTTTACTAGGCAAATGTAAAACTACGATCACAACATGATAATAAAAGATTAAGTCTTCGCAAGTTTGAGTTTGTAAGGTAGTCTTGTCATCCATTCTGCTACTAACCATTGTCATTATGTATATCAAATTGGTGTTATTGCAGTTGAATTATTGGAAGGAGTTGCTAACCATGGCATGGTAGAGCTTGGTGATCTTCAACTTGTGACATACCTTGCGGAGAAAAAGCCAACTGGAAAAGTATTTTTTAGAAAAGGTAAGAATTCACTTAGTTGACAACTCTTATCACTAGTGCTCCAGCTAAGAACCAAAAAAAAAAAAGAAAAAGCAAGAGAATAAATGATACGAATAAGCTATTTTGTGCATTAAACTGAAGTAGAGGATCTGCTCAGTGGTTCTAGAGTTGTTTGTTAATACTCAGGGGAAGTATATAATATATACATTATTTTTTAACATTTTAGATGCTAGTATTAGTCAGTATATCAGGAACAAAATTCTCTACAAGCCAATAGCTACATAAGGCTTCCAAACGCTAGGCGGCTAGGGTCTTGATATTTTCCAAGCATATCTTTCATCATGTATAGCGTGGCCACGTTTGCCCATTAGCAGCCTTCAATTCATTTACAATCTCGTGTTTACATTTCTTGTTCCTGTACACTTTACTATGCTTCACACTGCTGAAACATGAAATGATATCTTGCGATGTAGTTGATTCACAAACATCTTGAAGTTGTTTTTCTTCTTTTACTACCTTATGATATGTATGCAGGCTTACCTTCACTTGTTGCTTTCCCACCTCACTGCAAAACTTCTGATTGTCTCATAAGGTAACTGCTGATATATCTCCTAAGTTCTATGAAAACAACAGAACATTCTGCATCCTTTGTTGTCCTGAAATATTCTCATAATTAACACGTTTCATTTGCCTGATTCGCGTCACTGATGATCTGAATCTATCTACTTGTCAGGTTTGAGGGAGAGCCATCAGCCGAAGCAGTTACTGATTGGTTGGCAACTACCGTGATGGGGTTACCTCGAATATTCTATCAATCAAAAGAAACACTGGTATAAATGAAATTCTCTAATGCCTCATCATCTCTGAAGCTCAAACTTACAGCAACTAACATAAAATCTGATAAACCATCTCCGACTGGAATATCTCATACTTCTACAGAATTTTTGGTCCTACACTGCCTTGTTAGTTTTTCAAATCTTAGCTTTGTAATTGTGTTGTTTACTTGATACTCACTATGTTCTCAACTGGTACCTGAACCTGATCTTTCCGGCTTTGTATAACATTAGCACCACTGCAGCAGAAATATGTTGGCTTCTAGGGAGAGGAATCTATGGTCTTGTCATATTGGGTGTTTTCGTTGGAAAGATTTCATCTAATCTTCTCCAAATACATGGTTTCATAACTTAGATTCTTCAGTATATGGAGGCGTTGTGATTGATAAGAGTGAGAAACCTGTTTGTTTACATGTGTAGCGGACATGTAGTTTTTTAGCTGTTGTGTTTTGCAATATTTCCTAGAATTTAGCTTGGCTAGTTCTGTGGTGATGTCCTTGCACTTCTTCTGGGTTTATAGTCTGTGTTCTCTCTCTTCTTTGGATAATTTTAAATTCATTCTGCCATACAGGTGTCAAAGTTCCTCTCAAAAGTCCCCCCTTATAAGGTTTGTCTTCCGATTTCTCCCTTATCCTGCAGGATCCATGATAATTATTTTAGTGTTTTTATTTGTCTTCAAACTTATTTTTCTGTTTTCTAGAATTTTATCATATTGTCAACTTCATAACTTACAAGAATAAATGAATTTTTTCCGCATCATAATTAGTAACCAATCTCTTTCTGCTGTGTTTCCCAACTCATCAATAGGTGAAAGTCATTCTGTTCTCAAAAACAGGGGAACGGGCAACTCCTTTTGCACGCCAAGCTGCAAAAGATTACTGGAATTTTGCCTCTTTCTGTTATGTGCTTTGGACAGAGGAAGATGCATCGTCTTGGTGGAATGCGTATGCACTGCTCTTTCTTGTCTGTTATCCCCATCGATATCTGTGGCTCTTCACAGAAAGTTTGCATCTGTTTTTGGTTGTAACACATGGATGGACCCACTGTTTCACAATTATGCCAGAGCATGCATTTACTCATCTCAGGTTTATTTTCTTGTAACAGGTTGGAGGTGGAATCTGCACCTGCCGTTGTGTTCATGAAGGATCCAGGCTCAAAACCTGTTGTTTATCATGGTATTTCATTGTATTCTTACCTTAACAACTTTATTTTTTAATACCTGATTATAAAATTAGCCGCTTAACTTATTTTTACATATTGCAGGATTAGGCAACCATACATGGTTTCTGAACATTTTGGAGCAGAACAAACAAATGAGTAAATAAATCCTTATGCTTTTTACTCATCGTATCCAGTATATTTGGGATTTGCGTGTCGAGTTTTTCATCCCAATTTTTTTTCTGAATGATATGAGATCTTACTGGTATATGAGCAGTTCCAATCAGTTCCAATCGGTAAACCTTTTTTTCTTCGAACTACATTGGTTTCTAATTTGGGAAAATTTGGTTTTAATTGGATGGCATTATCTTTCATTTTTTTTAATATCTGTCTGCTTGAACTAAATGGTTCTGAGCGAATTTTTAAATCATTTTTTTTAAGATCTACCTCAATTAAGAAGCACAACGTCGATGGAACTTGGTTGTGATGCTAAGGGCTACTCTCGTGCTGGTTATGATACAATGACTTGGTACTGTGCCATCCTTGTGGGAAGGCCAAGTGTGGAACTCAACCAGATGAGGGAAGTAAGTAATATCTTCCCTAATTGTTGTTTGCATCCATAGATCTCATATTTTTGTGATTGGAAACGTGTTGATCTTACAAACTTGTAGACCATGTGCAGGGTACAAAATTCTTTATCAAGTTATGATGATTCAGATGTCGCTGGAAGCGATTCTTCAGTGCCAGACGCTGCAGCTGCTCTGAAAACTAAGCGATTAACATTTGCTTGGCTTGATGGAGAAGTCCAGAAGGTGAGTATATTGCTACTTGCTAGAACTCTATTACGTTTTCGTATTGTAGAATTTAACCATTATCACGAGACTGCTCGTTAGATGTTTGCTGAATCCACATTTCGAATGGTGGTCATCATCGACAATTCCCTCTGATTCATTTTGCTCTTGTTAACGAAATAGAAATAGGATGTACATTCCCACAATTCATGCCACACCTCCTTTGATTGGAATTGTATTGGCTCTGCTTTACTTTCTAACTCTGTATTTTTTATCCAGAAATATTGTTTTTTCTACGTTCATTCGGAAACCAACTATGAAACGTGTGGAACAAGAACTACTCCAGACGATGTCCCTAGGTTATTGATAGTGCGCTATCATAGAAATGCTTCCGAAGAGAGAAATGCAGAGGAGAAGAAATCAAATATCTGGTCAAAAACAGTTTGGCAAGATGATGCGAAGGCTGATCCCGCTTCACAGCTTGTTGTGAGTTACGATGGACCGAATGAAGTGCCAGAGGTACGAAATCTTGCATGGTTGTGATGCCAAATATAATAACCAGCTCGACTTGCAAGGCTGCATAGCCTGCAATGCATTTTATGTTTTAATGATCTTTTTTTCCCTAAAAGGTTTACATGAATATTTACTCTTTATGTTTGTTTGTGGTCATGTAGATCACACAGTGGCTGTCTAAAATGGTCGAAGATGGAGACAATACGAAACTACCCTTCTATGTATGCAACCTGCGTTCTCATTCATTCAAGCTTTTATATTCCCTTTCCGTTTTGACAATCCTTTGATCTTTCTGTGAATGGAGCCAAAAGTAATTGTGCTCAGATATCTGTATTTGGTCTTTCTGTTCTTAAACAACTCTTCTTTCGCAGAGAACAAAAACTCCAGAACTTGTTCCCGAGGGCTCTGAGCCGATGTTGTCAGGAGTCCCACGAACTGTACAAGTACAGCAGAAGATTAATAGCTTAAAAAACATCATCAATGATTACCTGCAGGATCCAAGGGTCGGTCCAGCATTGCTTCTTGGAGCATTGTTATCTACAGGTTCGGTGTGGTTGATGAGAAGTCATCCAAAAGAACCCGTTCAGCCAAGCCAACCAAATCAATCAGAAAATAAGGTAAGAGGATGTCTTAACACCTCCCTATTTAAAACTCTTTAAAATTTCAGTATAAGCTAAACATTTTCGACTTTATAGCAGCTAATGTTGTCCCCAGTATACCCGTTAGTAGTCAGTAAGTGTAGTAAATATCCGACTTAGTCGGTCCTGAAGTTTCCATGATTTACTATTATAACCTTAAACTCGTGTGGACGAGACTGCATGCAAGTCATTTGAACATACCTTTAGAGATAAAACTCGGGTTTTATATCCTCGAGGTAGAAACTCAGGATTGTGCTTGAACACTCGAGAAATTTGTATGTTTGTACTTTCTCCGCATACAGGTTTTGATTTTATTTGAGCCTCATCTTATATCCAAAAGTTACAGCAGCATCGATCTGCTACGCGCTTGACCCGTTATTTACTTGTTTTATTGGCTGTTCCCTCGCCCTTTTCATTTGTTACATTTCTCCCGTGGTTTTACAGGGAGAGAAAAAGGCGAGAAAACGAGAAAGGGCGAGAAAGGCTAAGGCTGAAGACATTCCTCCTTCAATAACCGATAACGAGCCAAAGGATGCAGTTCAGCTGCTGTCTTCTGATTCCGACTCCGACTAAGTTAGTTCGCAGTATCATCATCGTATCTGCCACAAGGACCACCTACGCTAAGTTGCTATTTTCTCTTCAAAGTTTGGATATATTATTGCTTTGTTCACATTTAAAAAGTCCAAGCTAATGAAATTTTTCTGAATTCCCTTAGTTGATACTTCTGTCTTGGGTCCGTTTGAGAAAACATCCTGTGAATAACGTCTACGGTTGGATGGTTTATCTGCGAATAAGGGTTAGCCGCTTGGTCTTTGTCTAACGTGGATCATGTCTGACCAAATTGGTTCAATTTGGGGTGGTCAATTCAGATTTCGGTTTGGCTAGTAATGTGTATGTGTATCTTTTAAATTGGTTTGGTTCGTATTGGTTGTTACAATAATTATAGCCGAATAGTATTCGAATTAAAATTTCAGTCCAAAATTGGGTTTGTAAATGACAAATTCAGTTTGTGTAACTAGACAATAAAAAATTAAAGCAAATTTAAAGATCGAATTAAACCGATATCCCGAGTAACTGAATGGTTAATTCAAACAGTGATTTCATTATTATAAAAGATAGTTTACCAATAATTGAATCAAACCAGTATCTATATATATATATATATACTTATATAACATTCTTAAAAGGATATATTAGAGGGAAATTGTAATGGACACAATTAACCTTATCCTCTCTCTCTCTCTCCAAAGCCAATCCTAAAAGAGGTCCCAACACTTTTCTTCTTCGTTAACAAACAGCAACAATGGCGGAAGCCTTCACGAGTTTCACTCTCTCTAACATTCGTGTCCCTTCCCCTTCTATGCCCGTAACCAAATTTTTACCTACTTTTCTCATCCAGCATTGTTTCATTTTATAAATTCGTTCTAAAACATCATGATATATATATATATATATATATATATTCGACATTTTTCTTTGCTTTGCAGCCTAAGCGGCATTCAAATCGGTTGGACCTTGGATGGTTATGTGTTAGTATTCTATCTAATAACTCAATTATAATCTTGTGTGTGAGTATAGGTTGAACCTTGGATGGGTATAATGTTGAATATTATAACTCTAAATTTACACTATGGTTTTAATTAGACGAATATACTTCTTAGTGAGTTGATTTTTGTGTTTGATTGTAATACGGTGGAAGACCGAGGCGAAGGCAACGAGGGGCCGAAGAGGGTCGTTGTGCAAAGCGGTGCCGTTCGAGGACGTGCCACTGATGGCTGTTATGGTTCAACAGATCGAAGGGATGAGAGATATTGTTACTGAAAAACATGTTTGGCATCTAAGTGATCAAGCCATCAAGAACGTGTGTACGTACTCATATATATCTGTCTTCGCAAAGACATGAACTCTCTTAGATCCATTTAATGATGTCGTGATGTCTGCAGATATGTTCTACATCATGTTCACTTGTTGGGGCTGCTTGTTCTTCGGATCCACCAAAGTAAGAGGACCCTCCTGCATTTCTGATATAAACATTCATGTCTATGAGCGAGAGGTTTTACGGAATGTTGTGACTTTAGGATCCATTCTACGACTCGGAGGCATACCGTGGAGACGGAGGGGACGGGACCGGCTTCTGGGTCTACGAGACTGTACGTATCTCATCCTATATTCAGTGGTCGTCGTCGCCAAACCCTTGGATATATACATTCATACACCTTCAGAGCATATAATGATTCAATGCCTCAAAGTTCATTTTGCTTGAAAGCTGCCTTTGCTACTCTGTGGTGCAGCAAGAGGACATAGAGGAGAAGGCGAGAGCCGAGTTATGGCGCGAGGAGCTGATTGAAGAGATCGAACAAAATGTCGGAGGACTCAGAGAGCTCGAAGAAGCCGGCAAGAAGTAGCTCCACAAAAATCCTTGCTCTGCGCATAGCAATGGAATTTTAGTCTTCATTAGCCATACAGCAATATATATATAATCCTGAAATGTTAAACCGAAATTACACTATGTATCGAACTCTCTAGCCTCTATAGCCTCATATATATGCCTTCTTAACAATACATTATGGGACACTTATAATTATAAGGGAACAATATATTATGTATATATTTTTATATACCATATACAGAACTTGCCTTATACCTTAGGGCAGACTAGCTCATACGTCTCTGTATATATTTCCTCTGTAATATTCTGATCAATACAAGCCGCAATACACAAGAGCTCATAACCTTACATGGTATCAGAGCAGAAAGTTTGATAACTTTCGATCCCTGTTCCTTTGCTTCATCGCCCCCCTCTATCTCTGTTTTTCACCATGTCTACATCAGACAATGCCCCTGCTGCTGAAAACACCAGATCTCAGCCTGAACAGGTTACAACCTTCAATCTTGAAGAGCCCCAGAAGATCTTGCTATCGTGTAACATGTCAAGTGTTACCAAACTCACATCGACCAACTACTTTACCTGGAGTGTCCAGGTTCAAGCACTCCTTGAGGGTTACAACCTTGAGAGTTTCATTCTTGATGAATCTGTCGTCCCTTCTCCCACGGTGACAGTTGATGGTGTCGTCAAAGACAATCCTGTTTTTCTTCCCTGGAAACAACAGGATCGCTTAATTTTCAGCTCTCTTCTTGGAGCTTTATCTGTGACCTTGCAGCCAATGATTGCTCGCTCCAGATATGCTCGTGAAGCCTGGAAAACGCTAGCCAATTATACCTACGGCAAAGCATCCAGAGGCCATCTTTTGCAGCTACGTGACCAAGTGAAACGCTGCTCAAAAGGTGCACAAACCATTGATGAATACATTCGCTTTGTATCGTCGAAAAAGACGAACTTGCCATGCTTGACAAGCCAATGGACCATGAAGATGTGTTGGAAGCAGTCCTTGATGGTCTCCCTGAAGAATACAAACCTGTGGTGGATCTCGTTAATGCCAAAGACAAGACCATTACAATTGAGGAACTGCACGAGAAGTTACTGAATCACGAGGCAAAACTTGCCTCCAACTCTCTGTCTTCGGCACCAGGATTTCCTGTCACAGCAAATCCTGCTTATACCAGATCCTGACGCTCCAGCAACACACCAGAACATCCACACCAAACTGGCGTCCCAACTATGCTCCTCGAGGGACCTCTGGCTCATACAAGGGCCGCTGTCAAGCCTGTGGTTTACAGGGTCACAGTGCTAAGTTCTGCCCTGATTTTCGCATCATCTCTGCTCCCAGTTCCCGTGAGTATCAGCACCATCGTCCACCAACACCTTGGCAGTCCTCAGTTACAGCCAACAATGCTCAGCTCTCCCCCTACGATACTACTCCTTGGCTCCTTGATAGCGGGGCATCGCATCATATAACCTCAGATTTGCACAATCTGGACATCCACAATCAGTACACAGGCTCAGATGATGTCATTATTGGTGATGGTACAGGTCTTCCCATCACACACAAGGGTTCAATCTCTCTTTTAAATCATTTTTTTTAAGATCTAGAACCTCGTCTCGGTTCAAAAGCTTTGCAAGACTAATCATGTATCGGTTGAATTCTTCCCTCACATGTTTCAGGTGAAGGACCTAAATACGGGGGTGCCGCTTCTAACCGGAAGCACTAGAGCTGGGGTATATGAGTGGCCGAACACAACACAATCCTCTCCTTTGCCAATAGCCTTTACGAGTCTCAAATCTACCTTGTCCGAGTGGCATTCTCATCTTGGTCATCCCTCGTTATCAGTTCTTAAACATGTAGTCTCTTCTCGTTCTCTACCTTTATCTCGAACCACTATGTCTTCCCATTGTCAGTCCTGTTCTCTTAATAAAACGCACAAGCTGCCTTTTTCCAACTCGACCATCTCTTCTTCTCGGCCTCTTGAGTTTATATTTTCAGATGTTTGGACCTCTCCCCTTTACTCGGTTGATGGCTTTAAGTATTATGTTCTATTCGTAGATCATTTTACTAGATATTCATGGTTGTACCCACTTAAACTCAAGTCTCATGTTCGGAATATCTTCATACGATTCAAAGCTTTGGTAGAAAATAAATTTTCTGTCAAGATTACGAATCTGTATACTGACAATGGAGGAGAGTACATTGCCTTGGCTTCGTTTCTTTCCGAACATGGCATCTCTCACTATACTACTCCTCCTCACACACCCGAACATAACGGAATCTCTGAACGACGTCACCGTCATATTGTCGAAACTAGACTGTCTCTTCTTGCCCATGCGTCTTTACCAACATCCTACTGGTCCTATGCCTTTACTACATCAGTCTATCTGATTAATCGCATGTCGACATCTCTTCTGGCCATGTCATCCCCCTTTCAGCTTCTGTTTCAAACCACACCTAACTACAACAAGCTAAAGACATTTGGATGTCTCTGCTACCCTTGGCTCAAACCTTATTCCACACATAAACTCGATTCCCGTAGTAAACCTTGTGTCTTTTTAGGGTACTCATCAACACAGTCTGCGTACCTCTGTCTTGATCCCACCTCATCTCGTGTCTTTGTCTCTCGCCATGTTGTTTTCCACGAGTCTATTTTCCCTTTTGCTTCCCCTGATCAGTTCTTTCCCTCCTCAACAGCTGATATGTCGACCTCTCCACCCTCTGATCAATCAACCAGTTTTCTCCCTGTGTTTCGGCCTACTCAAACAACCTCCCTCTTGGCTCTCATACCGTATCTAGCTCCACCACGAACTGTCGAGAATCAACCAGAAGTACCACCCGACACTGCGGACAGCAACCCTGAATCCGACTCTGAAGGCTCTGCTCAACCATCTGCTACATCACAACCTCATATTAGATCACACTCTGAAGTCTCTCTACTGCCAGCTGGTCCAACTGTACCTGCACCAGCTCCAATCAACTCCCATTCGATGGTAACTCGCAGCAAACTTAACATTTCTCGTCCTAACCTATAACACCCCGAATTTCGGTAAAAGGATTAGAGAGATATAAACCGAAATTGACGACGCTTGATCAATGGAAATGAGATGATTAGGCGATAAGCCCTTAATTTTCGTTAAAAGGATTAACGAGGAATAGACCACGACATGAAGCCGCTCGGGCGAATTGGTTTAACGTGAACCAACCGAGCCGAACGAAGAAGAGGCAAGGAGAAGAAGATCGACTATTCCAACGGAATATAATGCCCCGAGAGTTTCTTTTCTCTGCACCAAACCCTAGAAGATCTTTTAGGTGCCGGAGAAATGCTCAAGAACATAGAATCAAACCTAGCCAAGCCAATTCAAAGGATTGGACCGAAACGAGCGAGAAAAACGGGCGAAAACGGTCCAGAACGTCCGGTCTGACAAGCAGACCGTCCGTTCCAGACCAAGCGGAACGTCCGTTCCGCCTTACCGGACCGTCCGTTCCGACGACGGATCCTCTAGCGGGTGAGCTCATAGGACCACACACATCACTATGTATGAGTTCTAGCAACTCCTAGCCCGTTCTCCTTTTCTAGTAAAAGGAGATTTTGTCATCTTGCCCATCAAACAGGAATCGCATGATTCGATTGATTCATAATCAAAA